ATCTATATATATATATATATACTTCAGATATTGTACATAATTTTTGTTAACACATCACAATGTGTGTGTGAATGCATAAAAAATAAATATGATTCCATTATTCAATTTCCAATCTAAGAAATAGTAAAAAATTCGACGAAAACATTCATAAAGAAATCCATTTGCTAATTATGTCACGAATCCTCACCCTGGCCTTCTTCAAATCCTCCAAGTCCGTGTCTTCGTCGCTATACATATCGCGACAATGCGAAGATCCTAAAAAAATATATTGTTTTTTTCTCTCGCGTTATAGGAAAAGCAGAGTTTCTTATAGTGTAGTTTCCAATCGACTGTACAATTACCTTTGATAACGATAGCGGGAGACAAAGTATTTAAATCCTTCAATACCGATAACGAATGCCACGGATCGATATCGCCGTTCGAGAAAATGACGTTTGTTAAATCAGGTAATTGCCCTCCGTACATTATGTTCGTTCTTCTGACCCGTGAGTCCAATATTTTATCATTAGAGCTGGAATTAATTCTAAGATTATTATTTTTTAACGAAAAAAATCAGTAATTCATCAATAAATCATTCGGCAATTAAATAGATTATTTAATTACAAACAAGAACTGTTTAACATTTTGGAAAACCTATTGAAAAAATAATGACATTCCAAATTACGAATTACAAATATTGGAATAGATGAGATGATTAAAAGCGGAAAAATATTATATAATGTTTAATACACTTACTAATCACCGTATAAATCTGTACACATATCAATGTAATAATTCAACGGGAACAGCGTTCCAAAGATCGATTTATCTGAGCTCGTCGTCTGATAGTAACCGTATTCCGTGCAAGTTTGGTGGTACCATTGCCTCACTGCATACACAAAGAGAGATCATCTCTTCTTATGCAATACATATATCTTATTGCTGTTTAATTTATTCTATTAGCTAATTAATCCAACTCACTGGCACTCTGGATCACCGATGAGTCCCACGAAATATTCTGATATTTTTCCACAAAATTATTATAATTTACATCGAGACACACATCCGGTGTCGAAACAACATGCGCGAGTCTTTGCAAAGGACTGCCTAAATGCGCCGCTGTCATTATGTTGCATAATGCCGCAATTTTGGTTTGACCATTCACGACATTATCATATTGAACGGTTGCGGCGAACACCTAAAATTGCAATTTAGAATAAAAACGATTAGTTAAAAAGATAAAACGATGCTATGAAATGATGACCCGTGTACCTCCGCCAGTGTATTCATCAAGTAGCCAAGATCACTAGGGGATTTTACATTAGGCACATTGCACAAGCTAAAATCAATATTATTAACAAAATTATCATTTCTAATTGTTTTGTCTATTTTATCTATTTATTTTATTATCTTATTAGAATATTAGCAAATTGTTAGTGAATTTTTATTCTTCTGTTTAATCTTACTTGAAATAAAGTTTAAGCTTGTCAGGGCCATCTTGTGTGGTTAATAATTCCTCCACCGAGTCAAATGCCGTTTTTACGTCCTCAACGCACTTTTCACTGTATTTTCCGAGTGATTTCGTCACGACTTCATAGTATTCTAAGAAATAAGGCATTATTTAACACGATATTCATAAAAAATATTTAGTAATTATATGATTTACCATAGAAATCAGCCTTTGCATAAACTGGAGCGCTACTGGCTAGAGCACCCTATTAAAAATATCTTCCTTTATTTGATTACTTAAAATATATATATAAATAAATATAAAAAACGCAAGAATGATACCTGGATAAGATGAGGATATTTAAGCCGTGCCCATGCCGCCATGTTTCCAGCATAAGAACCGCCAAATACTATCACAGTACTATTTCCTAAATTCTTCTCCTTCTTTTTCGTTTCGATGAAATAAGCGAGATCGGCGAGTGCCTGGTCGACGTTCAAATATTGCAAGCTCTCTGTGCTGATGTCTCTAAATTTGTTTCGCGCAATATCGATTTAAAAAGAACTGCGTTCTAAAAATTTAGAATAATAGACAAACTATATAGATTATATACTCTGTTGGCATGCTTTTCCCATAATATCGATGCTCGGTGTAATACATCAATGCGTTGTATTTCGATCCGATCTCGTACATCAGTCCACCTTGCAGAAATCCGTCCGATATCTCCCATTCTCCACCGATCATAACTAGAATAGAACTATTTTTCCTCAGAAATGCGGAATTTTCTCGGTAACGCTATAAAGAAATTCATAAATATTAATTTTTAAGAAAAAAATGTGTATTCTAAAGAAAAAAAAGTCATGTGAAAGATGATAATTACCATTGACCAGGTGCGATTGTCGCGATAATTGAAATGATCGAGGGGTTGGGTGATCCAACCCTCAATTACGTCCGCATTTTTTTTTAATGGCTCCGGCTCTTCCAAACCTTGAAAAGTAAATCCACGAAAACCTACCCCGTTCACGAGAGGGTAAATCAGACACAAAACAAGCAACAGAACATTTAACCGAATCATAACTTGCTATCTTTTTAATTATAGAACAAAGAACGCGTGTGTATCTTTCAAAGCACGCTAGATAGATGCTCTAAATGGGACTGATTAATATTTGTCATTTTCTTCAATTATGATCAACCATAATCATTGATACGATATCTCTCATGAACGACCGATAACGTTTGGCGTTTGTTGTATTACTCCGATAAAATGGAAAATAATACATTGATTAAATAATCGTGATTGAAGAAATCTGACGTTTACGGAATGTCCAAGAGTTAGCAATTAAAACGTATTGCTTGACAAACACGGATGTGAATCTTTATCGCTAGATAAGAAATGTTATGATTAAATGCACAGATTAAGGTAAAATATATCTTAAGCGAAAGCTTAAGATACGTTTAATCTGTATTGTTTTGCCGTGATCGTTTCATAGATAATTAATCCAAATAATAAATAATTAATCACAGCCGATTTATTTTTTAATATTCCTATTGATTTATAAAAACATTATCTTATTTATATTATACAGTTATATGTAAAGAGACAGAATCAAATAACAGTTTTTGTTAAAATTAAAATCAAAATAAAAAAATAAAAAAATAGTACGCTGACCGCCTAAGATCGGATACAAAATATTGTCAATCGTTGTTTTCACATATTCTGTCACCTTAATACAATTGTTTGCAATATTTTTAAAAGCACTATTTTTAACTTTACAGTTTATCTTTGGATCTTTTTTTAGGAACTGTCTTCCTTTACATATTTCTTCTTTTCGTATCCATTTCTAATATCTTTAATACTTTCTTCTGGAGGTTTTGTGGCCATTTTCACTATCACTTCTTCTTTTTCTACACCCTTTTTCATGCCTTTTGGAAGAGTGCATGTCCAATTTTGCCTTCTTATCCTGGTCTTCGTCATCGTAAGCTCTCTTGGAACGGCTTGACCGACGTTTTTTGGATGACGTTTTACTCCTAGAACTGCTCGATCTTTCGCTCTGACTGTGTCTTTTATCCCGTAAAGATCTACGCGATCTTCTTTCCGTAGAATGGGAACGTTTCCTCTCTGAATCTTTCGAGCAATCGTTTATTTCAATTTCGGGAGATTCGGAAGACCATCTCCAATTGCGATCTTTTCCATTATCATCTCGAACAGATTCCTCCAATTTGGATTTATTACTAACAAATAAATAAATAAAAATATATAAATAATAATGGAAGCTTCCTTTCTCCTCCCTCCCATCTCTAAAATTGAGTCTTTTTATTTAAACCTTCATATATCTATTCTCTATCTTTATATCTTTTTCTTCTAAATTTACTTTATTATATCACATTAATGCTATCTATTTATTATTTTACATCACGTTAAATTAAAAATTCTAAACAAAAAAGGGATCTTCATAAAATTGAATATTGTATAGAATATATATTATTTTGATATACATATAAGCATAGAATATATAATAACAACTAACCTACGCTCGCTTCTCTTGCTGTTATTCGAGTCTTGAAAAGTACCCTTCGCCCGTCGAGGTGGACTCTTAATACCGTATTCATCGTGCGGGTTTCTGAAGGTATGAAGAAAATTGCAAGCTCTGCTACCCTTTGGACACTTGGGCATACCGCAGATAGCATTCCTCCAGGACGTCAAGTTGACGAATTCGCAGTTGAGTTGCTTGCTGGCGTATCTGCGTCCCTTCAGATTCCTCCAAGCCCTGGCCGCCTCTCTTTCCGTGTAATACTCGACGTACAGGTTGCCACGCAAATGGATTTCGGTGTTGCAGCAACATCTGAGCGTTTTAATTTTGCCAAACGATTCCAATTCGGTTATTACATCCTCATAGAATTCGCGAAAATGATGCCAAGTCTCTGAACTTTCGAATTCGAGGCCAATATCAGTATCATATTCTGCTGAATTCTTCTCAAGCGAGAAATGTGTATAGAATCCGGGTATAAGAATCACCTTACTCAAAAAGACTCTACGATGGTTCTTTGAGCACATATCTCCATATCTAAAAGCAATATAAATTTAATACAGATTTGAAAATTAGAGATAAAAATATTTAATTTTAATTAATCTTAATGTAAACACGATGTAATTAAATCTCAATTCATTTTCATTTAACTGAGTGTAAATACTAATTTAATTTAACATAAATAACTTTATAATTCTTAATAGCTTCAAGTGTGAAACACTTGTAAAGTTTATAAAATTGCAATATAATCACTCTTATCGGCTCAAGATTTTCAGAATTTTGAATTTCTATAAATATTTAACAGATCATATAATTATATTATTATTATATCTCTGAAGATCTGTTATATCTTTGAAGATCTCTATTTATACTAACCGGCAAACACCTGTTTTCGTAAAAAATGGACAGATGTCTTTGCTAGGTTGATTATCGATGACTTCTCGCAAAGCTTCGGGTGTTTTCATTCCATTATCAATGTAATCGTCAATCTCTTTCTGCAGTTGTTCCTGCTTTCGAAGTTGCTCCTCGCGTTTTCGTTTTTCTTCTTCTTTCTTCTTTTGTATTGCTTCCAGCCTTGCCTCGAATTCTTTACGAATCTTCATCTCCTGCTCGAGTCTTTGCTGCTCTTCTTTCGCTTTTTGTTCCTGAAGAACTTGCCATTTCTTCTGCGCTCTTACCTAAACAATTAAAAAATAATCAATCAAATATCTGAATTAACAAGTTATTAAATTAAAAATTTATTTCAAACATATACATACAAAAAAACGTTTTCCATTTATATAATGTCATTTATGTAATGCCATTTATATAAATAATTGTATGAATAAATCTATAAACCTTCTATATCTATATCTATATTTTAATAAAATCTATTATATAATCTATTACTAGGCAATCGCGCGGATGATCGATTCTAATTGATTTTTCATATATGAAAATATATAATTTTTTATAGCACTTCTTATGTATAAATTGATTTTAAAAAATATAATACATAACAAATATTTCTCATTAAAATACCCAAATATATTTTAATAAAATCTTAATTATTAAAATGTTACACACATACACATGAAGAAATTATAGAAGCTATATAGAAGAAAATCAGAAATCAATTAAAGAAACTTGAAAAAATATGTAATTACAAGACACTTTATTTGTATTTACCTCCTCCTCCAACCATAGTCTATTCCGTTCCGCGTGTTCCTCTTGTTCTCGCGCTTCCTTCTCCTTCTTCTCCTTTTCCTGCTCGGCGCGCCGATTTAAATACTCCATATTGGACATCAGTGCTGCCCTCAATTTCTCCTCGTTGGCATCACGTTCCTGAGCGGCTTTCTGTCGGATACGTCTACGACGCTCCCTCTTCGCGATACGACGCCATTCCTTATGACTGGGTTTCGTCTTCCAATGTCCCTCCATCGTCGCATCCTCAGAAACATCAGCAAGTATGCTGGATGACATACAAAACACTCAAAAATAATCTCGTCGAAATAGAAAGGCAACCAGCTGTTGGACTCGGCGTACACAACGACACATGGCCGACGCCATATTGATTTCCAGACCAGCATCAAAGATGAAAGATTTGACCTAATCGTCGATATACAAACTCGTCAAGCGAAAGGATAATTAAATGAAGCTGATCGCAAAATGTTATTTATGTGATGTCAATGTTTGATACAGCATCAAGTTCTGTTTAAGTCATGTATTAATTGTCCATTGAAGATATCATATTTTCTTTATTAAGTTTAGTTAAAGAGAAATATAGTATATTTAGTATATATTACGCTTTATCAAACATTGATATTATTAAATATTTAATATATAGCATTATATATTATTTTAAATATAAAAAATGGACTGTTACCCCAAGAGTAAGATGCAATGTACCGGCAAGATTAATACTCGCAAGTTTGTAATCTTATTAAAAGGTGGAGTCACTCTATGACCATTTTTGAACTGAAATCATATGTGAGTAAAATATATATATGAATTTATTCACAAAATTTATGTTGCCACATCAGTAGTGCTACAAATTTTAGGAACAATAATTATTTTAAATCCAATGTTTGCTCTTTATGAATATAATACAACATTTGGCATGTTTATTGTGAAGAAACTGCATCATTGCAAAAAGAACTGTTTTGTTTTATAAATAATTGGAAATGGCCAGTTTTTTTTTCTTTGTACTTAATATCTCGCATTGGTAAAATTGAATGTTTTTAAACGGTATCTTACGAGAGATCCTTTTTTCATCATATATTTTACGAAATATAATACACAATTGATCTCATAATTATACACAAACCGAGCTTAATATTTAACAATATAAAAAAATTTTTTATTGTTTAAAACATAATTAATTGCAAATGTAATTACAGGAAAGGAAAAGATACACATTTGTAAGTTTTATAAATTATTAATAAATGTTTACACATACACATATATACTCTCAACTTGCGTTTGCCGAATTGCTGCCCAATCTCCTTATTAAGAAAAATTAATGTGCTTGTTACGTTCCTGAACCGGTACCGTTATACCTGAACTGGCGGAGCGTTGAACCATAAGACGTGCAGGAGAATCGCGACCGTCATTCCACGATACGCCACGAACAGGTATACCTGAGTACACGATCGGTAAAAAATCATCGCGCATAAATTATATCATCTGTGAAAATGTGTAAATAACAGGCGGACACGCCTTTTTGCGCGATTTCGTGTTAATCTACGTACTGAACAAGTGACGTCGACAATCCGTCCACGTGATCAACAGTGATTCAAGATGAACAGTTTGTGACTTGTTGCTTTAGAGTTTTAGAAAATAATATGGGAAAATCAAAAGAAGATAGTCTGGTCGAAGAGGTGAGCGAGGATACGATGAAAACAAAATCGATGTTCGGGACTTATTTATTATGGCTGTTTGGCGGGCTCTTTGGAGCGCACCACGTGTACCTCGGTAGGGACGACCAGGCATTTGTGTACATCAGCACGTTCGGTGGCTACATTGGTTTCGGTTGGCTCAGAGATATTTACAGGATACCTGCGTACGTGGCCGACGCAAACAATGATCCGACATTTATCCAGGATTTTAAGCGGAAAGTCAGAGCTAATCGAAAGGTAAATAAATATTCGAGGCGCGTTTAGAATCATTGCTGCGATTGATCTTGAAATATCTACATATATGCTTTCCATTAACATTAATTTCCGTGATTATGGCTTCTCGCGTATCATCGCTGTCCGTATTCGAGGAATTGATGACGCTGAGTAATACGATCCTCGTTAAATTAAAATTGACGAGCGTAAATGTATATACACGTACGTGTGCGATTCCGCGATTGAAAGCTTTGTAAACCTTGTAATGACGAAATTAAACTTGTTGCTTACAGCCGCCGTTTTCCACGGCGCGATTCGCAGCGGAAACTGCCGTCGCCTACTTTTGGGCCGAGCTGTTCAATAATGCGATTCCGCAGGAGGAAATATACGGCATTAATTTCAGGCAACTGTTGATCTTAATACCAGCCGTAATCGCGCTAGGTAAGAATTGCAATAGAAACAAAAAAGAATCACAACGCGTCGTGCGTTTTCTTATCGCGTGTTCCTTACGAATTATCATTTCTTCAAATGATAATACTTTACAGCCGCGATAATAACGCAAAATACTCGTTAAAAATATATGACATCATCAGGAATCAACGAAAAGTATTGAAAAGCAGATTCTCTAAATCTCTTCTATTTCATGCAAATTTTATTATACAAAATATCTTTTAAATTTTGACAAAAACTTTTTTTATCGATACCGTAAACTTAATTTTTTCCTCTTTATTTAAAAAAAAATATCAATAATTAGAAAAAGTTTCTTTAGAAAAAAAGTATATACAGGGATTTTAGCGAAATTTTTATTCAGTGTTAATGCTTCAAAAGGTGTATGGACCGTTGGAAACATTGGGAGAGAACAAGGTTCGATATGGTTAGCACTTGCTACTGCTTATCTATTCTATCCAACCTTGTACTACATCGGCGATGATACTATGTGGATCTTTCTCATGGTGATCGCTTCGAGCCTGAGCTTTGATACCTTCAGCAAGCAATGGCGACTGAAACCAAAAAAGAAAAGAAGTTTTGTCCGGCGGATGACGGTTTTAGGTTTAGCTCTTATGCTCTACTTCATCGTTATCGGAAGTTACTTGTATTTCAATGCGGTTATCACGGATAGCGAAGGCGAGGAAATCAAACTGTCGGAAGCGGTACAGCACTTCCTCACTTCGCCCATATGGACGGATCTCAAGGTAGACTCATGATAATGTTCAATCTTCAAGACTTCAAACAAATTTTACATGCGGTTATTTTTGTGCTAGGCAAGTCTGGAAGCCACGTGGAACCACGCGAAACATCAAGGTTTTTGGGCAACGTGGGCGCAATTGGTGGACCTTACGGATCCTCGAGGCGAAATAAACGCTTTCAAGGTCGGACACAGTCGTTTATAAAAACTTTATCAAAGATTTGAATTTATAAAAATATATAAAAAAAATATATAAAATGTGTGAAACTGACACTTTATCATTTTGCAGATCCTGGGCCTCTCGCAAACCGCCTCGCAGAACGAAGTCACTGCGCGATGGAGAACTCTGTCCAGGGATAATCATCCTGACAAGGTTAAAGGATCGGAGGAGGAAAGACGCAAGGCACAGGAGAAATTCATGGAGATCCAGCAGGCGTACGAGATTCTGTCGCAGGCCAAGACTCGCAGGCAACGTCGAAATCGCCGTTCCAATGAATAAACCGTGCATGATATTAATTCGAAGATTAGTAAAGAATAAATGGATCAATGAAAAAAATCTCCAATATCGATCTGAAATACAATAGAATAATTAATTCAATCAAACAGTCGATTAATAAGACATTTATTTAAACAACCATCTCTGACAATAACTGCATCGATATAAAATCTTGTAGGTAAAACGTGTATTATAAGTTAAAAGAATACTTGCGATATATTGATCGCAAGTTTGCTTTTCAATCATATCCCTCTCTCTTTCTCTTTCTCTCTCTCTATCTCTCATTCTCTTCTTAACCGGTAAACTACATCGGAGTTCGCTTCAAGATCACACTTGCGTTTCTTGGAAAAATCGAAATTCTATTTACCGGTAAGACAATGAAGGCAGGGAAGTCTTTTAATGGATCTTCCAGTATCACGATCATTCGACGCGATTTCGCAGAATCTCCCGTAATCGCGTTTGCGCACTTGCATCTCTTTCCGCCACGTCACACGATTCATTCTAAGCTTAAACTAAAAATAAAATTCGACCCTCCCGAATGTTTGCGCATCCGGCCGTGGCGATGGTTTACATCAAAAACAATCTCGAGCACGGACCCTGTAAACATGAAAACACTTCAAACACCGAATCGGTTGGTAATTGTGATTTATCGGGAGCGATATCGAGTTTCGAGGATCTTCTCTCTTTGATCTTCGCGAACGTTTACGTCCGAGGAAAATGCATCGCTAATATTTTCTTGGCGAGGTAAAATCGGGAAACCTACTTAGAGATCTACTTAGAGGACCGCGGCTCCGGATGACGATCGACCGTTCGATTATAGGCAACAGTGAAATCGGATAACACGTAAATGATCTCAAACGGATGATCACGAATCACTCATCTCGCTGTCTTACGTCAAGCATACTTGCATAATCTTCCTTCGCGATTGTTCGACGCAAAACGGGCTAAACGCGGCTCGAGACCGCAATATAGCTTCACCTTAGACTACTTGCTCTTCTTCTTCGAGCGCGGCGGCTTCGCGATGGAGTTCTCGATTTTACCCGTAAAATTTGTCCCGTACTTATCCGAGGTCTTCTCTAAGAAATCCTGCGGCGAAACCAATGTCACCCTGAAAAATGGCACAATTTTTTCTTTTCTATTCAATTTTCTCAGAATATCAAAGTTATTTAATATTTAATAAATAATTTGCACATTATTTATACAAATGACAAGACTAATTTTGGCTAATAAACGTCATACCTTAATTGGGGTACACTCAGTGGTCGCAGAAGACTCTTTACAACAGGTGACGGTTTCGGCAGAGCTGGACTGCTCGCACAGAGAGCCGCGCTGGTGAGTTGTGATACCAGAGAGTAAGTTCGATCTGGACTTGAGGTAGTGCGAAAGACTTTCCTTATTTTCGACTTCAATCCCGAGGAAGGTTGCGGTAGAGGCGTTGTAGGTATGGGTGTCACCTGCATAATTTACGTAAGATTTATATCTTCCGCGAGAAGGAGATGCTGTTAGAATATTCAATGGCAACGCACTTTTCCTTGTAATATTTTCGCAGCCAATTCGGGCTCGCTGCCCCAACGACACGACGTCGTCCTCTCCAATAGACGATGTCTCGCGAATCTCTCGATCACTTCGGCGCACATGTATCTGCCGCAGAATCTCGCCCACTGTTCGGCCCTCAAACCTCTACCGTAATCGCGTAACGTAGGATTTGCACCTAATAAATTTTAAGAAATAGGGCAATGTGTAATTAATTATATTTTATGCAATATCCGATATTTAGATAATGCTGAATTTTATGGGATTATTATATACATTTTATAAATTATTAGTTAAATACTTTCTAAAGTTAATACTGACACTAATTAAAATTGCACTAAACTGAACTCACCGGCAAACAGAAGAATCTTGGCGCATTTGGTTCTACCTTGAAGGGCGGCTTTCATGAGCGGCGTAAAGCCCAAGATGTTTCTTGCGTCCACCTCGATATCCGGACATCTCTGCAGGAGGATGTTGAGACATTCGGTCTGTCCTGTCCATAGACACGTGACAAGGAACATGTACTGACATCATCGATGCCGTTTGTTTTTTTCGCGCGCGATTGCTGATATATTTCATAACTCGCGATGTTTTGGCTCGGAACGTTTCATGGCACGCGTCATCGCGGAGTAGCGTGAAATGTTCCGATGTTCTCGCTATTTTCGGCGCCTGTGACGCGATGGGATCCCTGTGCCGACACGAAAACTCTGCCGGCAGACTTGGCATTAGGCTTAGATCGGGTTCCCGATATTTTCTGAATACGCTCTTTTTATATCAGTGCACTATACATTATTTTCATTTACATAAAAATATAACATGATGGATCATCATATCTTGGAAAATTTCTTAGAATATTGAAATATCTTAGAATATTGAAAAATCTGGCAGACAAGAAATTATATGACTAAAATGTGCTCATTCTTTAAATAAATCATTATTTTTTTATTTTTTAAAGTGATGTATATTATATTTTATTTTATTGTATTAAAAGAATATATATATACAAGAAAAAAAAATACTGTTATAAAATGAAATATAAAACGAGAGAAAATGTGCGAATTAATAGCTTTTAGCTGTTCATTATTTTCTAACTTTATTGGCGACTATAAACACCTCGAGTCATAAACGTGAACAAGTACCTTGAACTTCGTTTTGTTATATTTTTATGCTTATGTTTGATTCGACAACGGATGTATATAGAGTAATTTTGCAACCACGTGGCTGCCATTTACTATTCATTAAAAGGGGTTAATTGCGCGGCGGAAAAGAAGCAGAGATAAACACTGAGATAAATTATGTTCTAAACCAGCTGTAGGAAAGGGTGGGAGGCTATCCCGGAATGAACGAATTTTAAAGATTCCTACGAAAATTGGAACGCATCATCATTGACGCCTACTGATTACTGAGTTACGCTCGCGGGTCGATTGATGCAATATTTATTCTTGTAACTTTCCCTATGAGTGAAAAGCAGCCAGCTCTATTCCTTCGTATCTTGCCAGGTACATTTTTGGAACATTGGATATAATTGCCGAAGATATTCTGAATCCGAAATCCCATTTAAATTTAAAATATTAGATCAACGTGCAATATTTCAGCTTCGATAATATCGTATTTTAATTTATTTTTGATATTATTGTAGGAATCACGATTCCAAATCATGATTCAGAGTAATGAATTCCATAAAATTATAAAATCACAAAATTAATTATAATAAATAAAGATTATTATTATTATTATTATTAATTCTCAGCGAGTCATCGATATATCGATCATGTTACGCGCCTGGCGCATAATATTACGAGTATCACGTATTTAGATATTATTCATGTCATAATCGATCGCACTCACCGGCTTGGGCGGCAAAATGGAGCGGCGTGTTACCCTCGTTGTCGGGCAGATTCGGGTCCACGCCTTCGAAGGAGAGCGCCAGTTCCAGCATCGTCGATGCACCGTTCCCGGCCATGTAACTTATGGCCGTCTGCAATCGTAAACAAATAATCCCGCTTTAGTTTGCACTGAAAGCACGCTCGATTACGTAAACTCGCGTTTCGAGCGAAACATTATTCACTCCGCGGCCTCTCCGCTTCGGATCGTCAATGTCTCTTTCACGCATTTGTCCGTGACACGAAAAACATGCGAGGTGTCATAGTTTATGGAATTTAATCCGCTAAATCTAAATCAATAACTATACTTATTTTAAATTAAGATTAAGGATGTATGTGTCATATATGTCAAAATATTGACAAAAGCATGAAAATTTCGTAGACTGTTTTACTATTTCTTCTGAGTATCTGTGCAAAACCTAAACACACAATTCTCTTAACGGTTTGGAAATTATTTAAGTTTAAAGTTAGTATTGATTCTTATGGAAAATCGCGTATTGTAACACTTGTTGACAAATTTAGCAAAGGGAAAAACATCGCCAATAAAATAAAAATTTTTACATATATTAAGAAAACTCTAACAAATATTTGTGCCAAACTTGATTTAGATCCACTTACTCGTTTAAAAGTTATTTACTAAAAATTGTAGAAAAATATTATCTGTCTCTCTCTCTCTCTTTCTGCAAATTACTCGTTTTTTTTTGTTTCTTGCAGTTGATTTCAGGGGTTATTCACGATCAAAAGATTTTATTATAAATTAGGAAAAATATTAATTACAACTATTTTCTTTTTCGAAGACATTAAAAACTATATTATTTTGTGATATTTTAATTCTTTTTATAGTTCGGATTTATTTATTTGATTTTTTAAACAGTATAAATGTAAAAATATGTTTTTTTTTTAATTTTGATAATTATTTGCTACTATTGTACAGCCAAAACATTCTTAAATCAAGTCCATTTATTTCGGTTCAACTAATTTTCCAGATCAACTAAACGATCCTTTTTAATCGCTATATTTTCTATAAAGTACGAGTATTTAATCAAGGATTTATCCTTAGATGCTATTCACATGTTACTATATTGACATGTAAATATATTGAAAAGGAAGAGTAAAAATCATGTTTCACATCTTGATTGTTAAAATGTACAACATGTTCTCTCGTAGGAAGATGTTCTCATTCCGCCATTGTTTGCTACCGTCGTCGACATCGTAATGCACAATGGAATATCCGCTAAAAATCAATTTATTAAGTGGCTATTGAACGTTGGAACATTATTGCTTTGCTTGCGTCAGCATGCGCCAGTATGCAAACATAAGTTTAAACGCAAACTATGCCAACAAACGATCGGAAGAAGACGCATTTGCTTGTAAGGCGATGCACGGATCGTAAATGTAAATCGACAAACACAACGAATTCTTTTTCTTTGTCCATTTGAAACAAAACCGTAAGAGCGAATTAAACAGTTTACATATTTTTCAATTTTTTCCTATAAAATATTTTTATAATTTTTATTCATTATCTAAAGATAGAAGAAATATTATCAACACAAAGTTTCAAATGATTAAAAAATAAAAGCTGATTATACTTTACATACTCGAGAGATATTTAACTTTTCCCTTAGCGTTTCAATTTTTTTCCATTTTCCTCTACTTTCTCTCTCTCTCTTTCTTTTATAAAAAAATTGGGACACAATTCTATTTATAATTTTATATCTTGTATTTCCTGATACGTGTATTCTGTGTGTGATGTAAGCCTTTATAAATATTACACAAAAAAACAACACATAAAAATTATACATAGTATTCTGTCCTAAATTCTGTTGCTAATCATAGATCGTTTAAAGTTAGCTTAATTTAAAAATAAAGCGATTTTAAAACAAATAATGAATCAACATCATTATTGCTTCAGTGAAATCTTATGTTAACCTCGCGCGAATCATTCGATCCGCAGCCTCGCTGAATCATCGTCGACATTCATCTCGTTTCACTTAAGGAATTCTCTCTAACGTCATCTCAGGGTTGATACGTAACCGTCCGATCGAGATCGAGATCGCAGTTTCTCGACGCGACGCGCTTTGTGACTCGAGAGAGTCGCTCCTCGAAATCGCGAGATCGAGATTATCCGTCACAATTATCCGGAACATCCATACGTCTCCCTCCGTTCTGACCTTAATGCAGCGAAGGTCGATCTCGATTTTACCTACGGGAGAAGAGACAAGGAGATGCCGGCTTTAATTGCTGCGCGACATCGCCGCGTAAGGAATGCGGTCACACAAAGCGGGAAAAACGTGTCTTCGAAATGCAAAGACGCAATCAAAATTACCGATTAGTTTGAAAAAACCGCGCGCGAATTCTAAGATATTGGATTGTAAAAAATTTTACAAAGCGCAAAATTTATAGCATTGCCGGCTTCCAAGAGATCGCCTCGCTTTCATTCTCGTATTAAGTCGTTTAATATTAATGAATGCAAATTAACATTATGAGACATTAAATTCTCGTCGTATCAAGAGTATCCTTCAAAACGAGACAAATTACTATGTCTGATAATATCTCTTCGCATTACATTTTTTCTAATTGAAAGGCAATATAATTATTTTAACTGGAAAAAAAAATTTTATCGCTTTTAAAGCTTATTCAACGAATTACATTTTAAATTTACTAAATATTTAATAAAGATCCACATATAATTATAAGCTCCCGCGAATAAAACTTTTATTGATAAAGGTATAATTCTAGATTCGCTAAATATATTCTCTCCCGCTTTCCAAGGCAATATCATATGTTTGCTCACGAAATGTGGTAATTTTATATCTCTCGCGATTTTACACTTGGTTTGTCGCGGAGTCGAGTTTCGACGAGCAATCTGGTACTTTTCCACGAAGCAATGTGCACAAGGGGATCGTACGTAGACGCTAATGAAACCACCGTGAGCATGGAATTCTTGGTCGAATAACAACTGTCGGAAAATCACCGTCTGTGAACGGTCGAATCCATTTCGTCGAATCGATTTTCTACCGCTTAAATCTGCATGCTGGCCGGAAAACAAACCGGCTAATTATATACAGAGTTTCGTCAGTGATTAGAAAACTTCTTCAAACACATCATGCTATGATAATTACGCCGATTATCTGATCGAGGTGTGCCGCAGTGCCAAGCAGCACGAAACGAACTGAATTATTTAATTAGATGAATATTTTTGAAAAAAAAAGCTTTAAAAGAAATATTAAATTGTAATAGTAAGAAATAATTAAATATATATTAAAATTAAAAACAATATTAAATTTAAATAGTAAGAAAGAATTGTTTTATATTGTAAAATAAAAAGAAATTATTTTAGAACAATTATATCATCTTTTTCGTATATAATAATGTAATACAAATTTTTTATATCAACAGTATAAAGATCTTTTCTATTTTTTATGCTGCTTTAATTAATAAAAACGAAACTGAAAAGAGCAACAAGATATTCATCTCCATATTTCACGCCACAGTTAACTCTAGTTCGTCAGCAATCAATCGTCGGGCGGCCCGCAGGGACTTGTCGCAGTTGCTTGCATTTTTCGAGGAGCGAAATTCGCGCGCATTCGATGCCGGGAATCCTTCCGACACACCGTACACACACGACTGGGGTGATTTAAAAATAGATTTATTCAAAGGCGAAATTTGTTTTCTACCGTCGCGCACGACTCGCTCGGCCTTAATTGCACTTTCATCGATCGCAAATCGCGCGCAGTTAATTACAGACTTGGCCGCCGGCTTTCCAATCCGTCGGATTCGTTTTAACGTAATCCAAAAACGACTATCTCTCCTTCCTATGGCGCAATTTTGAGGAAACTTTGAGCGAGATAGGCGCCCAGCGGCCGATCCGAAGGTAAATGGTTCTCGGTTCGTTAAATCAATCTTTTCGATTTTATTTTATTTTATTTCATTTTATTTTATTTATTTATTTCGATGTACATTTAATAACTTTTTATCCATTTATTTTAACTTCCATATTTCCCTTCTACACATTTTTTCCAACGATCTGTGAACTTTGACACATTAAAGTTCCTTATTTTTTTGCCCCACACTATGAGTGAAAATGTAAATGATGCAGAGAACATTTTAAAAAGGCAATTTTAAAATTACGGGACGCGAAAATGGCAATTAGAGACTAATAAGATTAATCAGAAAATTTTCACTTACCCTGCCACTACTGTCGACTACGTTGACATCCATACCCTTCAGTCCTACTTTCCGAGCCTGCGCGACGATCTCCTTGAGACCGGTGTCGTCCGCCTCTCTGGCGGCCCTCAGGAGGGCCGTAGGGCCCCCGGAGGGTATTTCCCACGAGGGTGGCACTTTTGACTTAATCGTCTCTTCGCGCACGCGATCTGCAAGATTTACATTCGTCATGATACCTTCATAACGTCTCAAGAATGACATTTTAATCGCGCGGATAAACCCTATTGGATTACTCGCGTAGCACTAACTGTCTAATATATCAACCCGAGATGTATCAGAAGTTTATTAATAAATAAATAATCCTGTTCTGCATATACAGGAGTACGATTTGAAGTTGGCATGTAACTCCAAATTTCACGGTCATAAATCGCAAGTGACGCTTTAAAAGCTTCTAATATTTCTAGACGGATATTATCTCTTTATTATTAAATTAAATAGACATTTATTTTATAGGTAAATCAAAATTTGTGGTAATTTATGTTGATAATTTGTTCCAATTTATCAAAATGTCATCGCACATTGCTAAATTCTAAAGCATTGATTTCCTACTTTTGTGTAATTTATCGCGGCTGAAGTCACACATTGAGATCAATTTCCCGGCGCTAACAAATGTGACGCATGTCAACGAGAAGTTCATGCATATAAAAATCTCAACAAGTCATCGTTGCTTGCGTAATGATCAATGACTATGTTTACACGTCATCCTTAATCAGGTTTAATAATCGTAATTCTAAAACTGGCCAATCACAATCATTCCATTCTTCAAAAGAATAATTGTGATTGGCCAGTTTTAAAATTACGAATGTTATTAAACTGGATTAAAGGTGACGTGTAAACGTAGTCAATAATTCTATATCGCGTTTGTATAGAAAATAATAATAAAATTTAACTATTTAAATAAAAAAAAGTAGCAATAATGAAAAGGAATAAATTTTTATTAAAAATTTTATTATATTTGCTAAAATAAATTCGCTTTTTATACATTTGATGTAAACTGAATTAAACTTTCTATCTAGATGTGTGTTGCTATTAACATTATAGTAAACTTCTCTTTGTAACTCACCTTGAAGCACGCCCTTGCGGTAAATCTTGGCCTCGTGGACGGCGGTCTTCCGGTAGGGCGCGCGTTTCTCCTCGAAGCTAGTGTCGGAGCTGAAGGAGACCGATTTCTTCACCCCAACGCCCTTCTTCTTCGTCGACAGGGTTTGAACGCTGGGCGACTGTCGTAGGACGCGCACTTGCGCGTCGTCGCCAGGAGCGTTCGTCAGGATCGAGAGGTATCCCTTCAGACCGGAGTATCTCGAGGACGAGGAGGAAGCGCGGAGCTCGTAGCGATCGGATGGCCTGAGGAACTTGATCGACTCGTCGTCCGGCGAGTTCCTCTCGGCGACGAGCTTGCTGGAGGGATGATGCGCTAAGCTCGTCAGGAAGGCGGAAGACCTCTTCAGGATGCCCTCCTCCGGCACCCGCTGTAACGTTCTCTCTCTCGCTGGAAGACCTGCACGAGCCACAGTTCTATATTTGGCCGGTGTCACTTTGCAAGGCGTGTCTCATTCCGTCCATGTTGATTGCGAGTTCAAATAGACGCGTATAAACGGCATGCAGATGCTCGCGGATGTAGGTTGTCGTAAAATATATTATACTTCGCGCAAATATCGCGCGAATCGCGAGAAAACTTCATTCGTTATCCTTCCCAAAAGTAAACCTTTACTTACTTTGGTCTCATTCTGGCCCGAACTGGCAAATTTTAATTTGCATGACACACGAGTTTTTTAAAAATTTAAATTGTATATATAAAAATAAAGTTTTCTTCAGGAAATTGCACAAATAATTACATTCCAATAAAAAAAATACATTCTTTGCATGATTAATTCGATTAATTTTGTACCGAATGGAATAATTTTATTGATATTCAATTATTCTAGTCAATTTACTTGTGTAATATTTGTTTCAAGTTTATTGCGTTAAAATTACGTGAACACATCCTGTTTGGCTTTATTTACAATTCTAATCATAAATTACAAAGTATATGATTATCGTTAGTTTCTGTTTGTCAGTAATCTGTATAATAAAGGAGACAAAAGTATAAAATACAAAGCATGCACGTCATTGTCGTTTTTCCAACAATTAAGTAGTCCTTAGGAAAGTATAAACAACACAAAAAACTAACGTTAAAGTCATTAAAAATCGTGAAAAATCGTAAAAAATCGTTCCATCATAAATTAGTACATACTTAGAACGCAAATAGCTAATAACAGTTCAATGACAATTCTTTAAAAAAATTCATCGTTAAAGATCATTAAAAAAGAAAAAAATTTACATTGTCATAAAGCATAATTACATATAATTTGACGTATAGTCATTAAAATATCGAACAAGAGTATTACTTGTTAGTTGAGTAAACATTTTCGAAATTATGTCAAAAAAACGACAGTTATATATATACAGGGTGTCCCCAATTTAAATGTCAAAATCTTAGGAGCTTGTAGGGGACCGATAAACTAATTGTAAGACAAAAAGTCTTTTAGAGATTCGCTCGTTTTTGCTTCGGACTTTTTGTCTTAGTTTATCGATCCCCTACACGCTCCTAAAATTTTGACATTTAAATTGGAGACACCCTGTATATAAAATTATTTGCACGTCAGGAAATTAAAAAAATATTCTCTCACAGACACATATGATGTATGATCTTGATCACAATCTTAAGAAATTATGCAACGTACTTTCCTTCAAATCCTTAGGTACGGAAGCGGACTTGGTTATTCCTCTCGATCTTGTCGAATCCTTCGACCCGTTCTTAGGTTTCCTCGACTCTTCTTCGGCGAGGATGCCGTTCCGTGTGGTCTCCTCCTTGGAGTGGATCCTCCCGTTGACGATCGACGATGCCCGTTTCTTGGCGATGACGCTGGTCGCCGTTGTTTCACTCACGGCGCGGTTATTTCGAGCGAGTTCGCCCCTAGAGGCGATGATGCTGTAGTTGTTAACCACGCAGCAAGCAGTGCCCGATGTGCACTTGACGCGTCTACGTGAACCGTTCTCTTGCCACCTTGCCTGCTCCTCGAGGATTCGTTGAACTTTCTGTCGAATGCATGAAACGACAGAAATTATTTTTGAAAGAAAAAGATATGATATTCGCGAACTGCGGGTCTCAGCTTGCATTTAATCTCGATTCGATTCATCGCAAACTCAATAGTGTATTCAATAAACTACATTTCTATTTATATCTGTCCAAATTTATATTTTGTTATTTGAAATGTAAAATAATTAAATTTATAAAATCTTTCTGATTAGTTTTATGTAATTAAATAAAAATTTTGAATTTAATATTTGCGACAAAAATGAGCGCTCAATTAAAATGTAGTATAAAATCATTTATTTTAATTTATTTAACCATAGCATATTGTTCCCTAATTTACAAAATACGCAATTAAATATCTATATATTTAAACCCTTATTATTTTTTTAATTACTAATTTTAATTATTACCAAAATATAATCTCAGCCGAGAAGAATTTATATAATTGTAACAGATAATAAAATAAATTTGTGATTATCGAGAATACAATTCGGTTTGTTTAGAGATTTTCTCTCCACTGTAATAATAAACATCATCACTCTACTTATGAGACGCGCGTATCATAAACGATACGTGTCAATAAAGGTTGTATAGTTCGTCACACTTGTTTACTCACATCACAAATTCCTCATCGAACGTCGCAAATATGAAAGAAACGATTAACGAATTAGGCGCACTTTGAAAAGGACCGATTCCTTTTTCGCGATCTCGAACTCTCTGTGACGTCGATCGCGCACAGCCTCCAATCACTGGATCCGCTCCCTTAATTCCATGTTCTACAATTTTTATTTTATAATACTTTTCGATAAATCTAATAATTTTAATGTTGTTTTAAATTTTTTGGTGAAAATTATTTGTTTCACTTTTTGCGATTTTTTTTCAAAACAACAGCAAAAACGAGCAAATCTCTAAAAAACTTTTTGTCTTAGTTTATCGATCCCCTACAACGAATTAGGCGCACTTTGAAAAGGACCGATTCCTTTTTCGCGATCTCGAACTCTCTGTGACGTCGATCGCGCACAGCCTCCAATCACTGGATCCGCTCCAGTCGCGCGATCCACCTCGGAAAGCGACTCGCGCCTTCCTGATGGCTCCTCACAAGACGTACACGCGAGAGAGTTCTAGCCGGCTCTCTTTAAACGCGCTATTTATACGTCAGTTAAGCTCCCGCGTCGGTCGGTGCCTTGTATGCGTACGTACACACACGCATCATTAACGCACTAACGTGAGCCACGTTCGCGTTTTCCTATTATGTTCACGAGCGTCTTCATCCGTTGAGCACTTACTAAGCATCTTAGACACTTCCGGATATCCAGCGAATCGCAAAATAATTGATAAAAAAATCAGCCATAGAAAATAGAGTAAATTTTTTAATTAAATTAGAATTTAATTGCTGCGATATAAAATATTTTGAAAATTAAATCGTAAATAAGCCACAATTTATGTTCAAGAAATCAACAAGAGATGCTTGAATAAAGAAAACAATTTCTTTCATCAAAAATTATATCACAATTTATGATTTTGTGATTTTTCATAATTGAAATTTATTATCGAGTAATACTAAAATATTCGCGGATATTAAAATCGCAATAAATAGAGACACACAATGTTTCTTTTAACTAAGGATACTTGATACCATCGCTCTTTATATACACATTGAATATAATTACCGCTGACAATAAGCGCCGAAAATTGGAGCAACTTACTTCGGGAACGATCTAGATCCCGAGGACGTCGGAGCATATCGCTCATTATACGGGTACACCGCACAAATGCCTGTCAACCGAACGAGTGTCCGTTTGTTTTTACGGAATCATTATACAATGTGTCCAACTTTGCGTCCGTTGAATGCGCGATACCGCGCTTCGCGACACTTTGCGGAGGAGTCCCGCGAGATAGACTACCACTCTCTCGAGGCCACGAGACGTCGCGCGACCGATCCATCGATGATACGCGTCGACGTAATGAAAACGAGAATCCACGACGGGAGATAGATAGAGAGAGAGAGAGAGAGAAAGCTTACTTGCTGAGTGGTGGTCGGTTGTATAGTGGAGACAACGTGGTTGTTGCCGGTGTTCATCGACGTGGTGGTAGTTTCATTGCTCGCCACGAGCTTCACTCTACGATTGCCTACCATCGTCGAAGATTGGGGTTTGGTGAGAGGCTGGGAAAAGGTATCGCAAGTTTACTTGAAAACTATAATTCAATAGCGTGCGATAATAATTTGATATAATCGTAAAAGAGAAAAAAAACTCTTTTAAATATATAATCCAAACTTTTGTTCTATCCTTTTTTTTAGGTTGATATATCATACAATTACGGAATCGTAAAATTCAGCGAGGAAAGAAGAGATCTTTGTCAACAAGATCGACAGAGGACCGTTAGCCGAGATATTTTCTTAGTCGAGATTTACGAGAATTGATCGAGAATTATAGTGGTACTCTTTGCGGAGGCTGTAATATAAATTAAAACGCGCTCTCTCACTGGGAGACACTTTTATCGCTGCGAGCACGCGAATCGTCTCTCCTGTCACGTAAATGTCGCGATTTCCGGTAAAGCGCGGTTGGAATCGCTTCTTCGACCTACATCTCCTTTTGTTCCACGATTCATCGACACTCGCGTTGGAAATCATGAAGAATATACGACGGAGCTTGAGCAAGCAATTTGATGTACCTATAGATTATTTTTATTTCTTATAATTTTTTTTTTTTTTTTAGATTGAGAAAAAGAATTCTACCTTTTTTATTATTAATAAAAAGTCGCTTTCGTGTGTTTATTATTTTTACTCAATTGCATTTAATTATCTCCCTTAATACATTAAAAAAAAATAATCTGTATTTCAATTTTCACGTTTTTTAAATTTTTTATTCCCTGCTATCATATTTTATTTATGCAAATAATAAATAAATATTTTAAATATCAAGTTACACGTTATATAAGCAACATATTTGATTAATCACAATAACACACTCACACACACAAGATCATACGATCCTCAAGGGTATAATACCGATCCTGTCTATCGATCAAAAGGAGGAATTTCTCATTTCGTTCGTTTATTCGTCCTTTCTAATCAAGTGAACGTCCCGTTCTTTTTTTCTCTCTTTTGCGCTCGTGCCGGCGCGCCGTTAACTTTACGACCGGCGGAAATTACTCCAAATCCTAGGCGAAAAAAAGCGAGCAAGGCGAGATTCCAATAGTAAAACCAATCTCACTCTCACGATATTCGCATAAAATCTCCCTTTCATTTCTCAAACGCGTGTACAGTTATTTCGGTACCTTTACAGAGCGCGATATAATCCTGCCATCGTACAATTTTTGACCACTCGCCAATATTTTGAACTTTCCGATGTATACATATATCGGCTCATCGATCTTCTTCGATCTTCTTTCATTTTAGAAGATCTATCGATCCTTCGAGCCGAGATAACATCTGGACGAAGATGAGGTTTCAGTAAAGACCAAGTGCAAAATTTTTTTTATTAAAACTCTAAAGCTTTTTCTTCTTTAATTTATGGGATCTTAAGACGACCCAAGACCACACTTAAGACGATCTTGGATATAAGAACGGACTATGAATACCGGCCTAAGTTATCGGGCCACTCTATAACTTTCGGGAGATACACGTAGCTTATATCGGGACGAACGAGAGAATTTGCGAGAAATTAGCGATAACTATCACGACCCCGGTATATAGGAGGCCTCGAGATTTCGCTTCGTTAGGTGAGTTGGACGAAACTGGCACGAGCCGACTATGGTAAATGGGCACATAGTTATCGCCCCAGTTATCGAGTTTTCGTCGCTCGATTCTCCTGTGTTTGCTCTCTCTCTCTCTCTCTCTCCTCCCCCTGAATAGACCGTTTCATATCCAAACAATTGCGTCGCTCTGTGAAAGCTTCCGTCGGTGTCGGCGCGAGTACGCCGACCGTATGGAACAATATCGGATGCTGTAAAATACGGCGTTCACGTGCGTCCCGTGAGGGATGGTCCTCTACGCGATGATCAATGGCCGGAAGAACGATCGTCGTTTATCACAGAGAAAGAGAGAGATAGAGAGAGAAAAGCTTTCTCTCGTCGAGCGCAACAAATTTCATATAGCATTCTCCCGACATTTTCGTTTATGCAAACCGTTCGTGTCCCTCGAAAACCGAGTCGGCTCGAGAATGATAAGAGCAGCTGATTAATCAAAACGGCCGTATATTATCGCGACGGAAGATTAGTCGCGCCAGCACGTAAATGTCATATCTCTAGCTAGCTTGCAGTTAAAATTTCAATAATATGACGTCAGACGGAACTCTATCAACCTACATGGACGCTTAAGACACGTGTTTTGTCGAGTTCACCGAGAGAAGCATCACTCGATCCTGTACTAATCAAGTATATGTATCGTAATTTGATATTATATTATATATAGTTGTCTCTTTTTCTTTTCTCGTGTACACAACTGGAATTATTTTGAAAGTAATAACTTCGTTAATATTGCGTACACTTTTATCGAAACGGTTATTAATTTTGTCATCGGATACGCGAGGAACCACACCCTGTACTTTTTTCACCTGTCAAATATAATGCGGGGGTAATTATTATTTTCTAAAATTACCAACAAATAGCGTGCGTCTTAGATGTGTCGCGAACGGATTAACGAAGTTCGCGTAAGGAATATCCGGGATCAATGCAACATCGAGATTGATATCCCGTGATGCACGTATAACGCGAGGCTGATTTATAAGCGTCGTTTCGGCCGCTGTAACTCCATCGCGGGAACGTCAGTGATCAGCGGAAGCTTCGTCTGATTGACTTTCAGCTGTGCGTGCCTTTTGACGTTGATTGACCGTGCTGCATGAGAAACGGTCGTTCTGCCAGCCACTACGTCACGGTATACGTAATGTCTACTCGAAATCTCGAACGCGAAACAAACTTTATCTGCCATGCTGTTTTTATTGGCCGTTTTACGAAAGAGGCGAATAAATGCACCAGAAACTAAATTGAGTTATTGTTTAAAAACAGATAAAAGTAACTTATATTTGTGTTCGACATTTTGAGTTATTGATTTCAATTTGCAACTATTGATCTCGCAATAAACTACAATGTGTATCTTCTCTTTAATATTACACTATTGTATATGACATATACGTTTAAAATCTCTTGAATTTTCGGACTTTAATGAGAAAATAATATTAATTTTAAAATAATATTTGTGTTATATAGATACTTAAATCTATAATAAAATATATAAGAAAGAAAAATAAAAAATAAAACATAATTTAAATCAATTAAACTTTAAATCAAATTTAAATCAATTAAAATTTAAATCAAATAAAAATAATATTTATTATAAGAAAAAATAATATTTATTATCAGAGACCAAAATAATATTTATTACAAAAAAAATAGCTACGTATTTCAAGAGAAAAATAAAAAGAATTATTTTAAAAAATATACTATATTTTGTGACAAACGTCATTCTTGAGTGACATTTATAAGTAGATAAGACTATTTGACGAGAATCGAGAAATGGATGAGGAACGTGCGTCAAATAATAGAGAGAAAGCTCTGATAAGAACGACAGGAGGGTGAGGCGTGTAAAACCGAGCACGCGAGTTCCTAATCGCTTCGTCTTGAAGAGACGCGACGCTTTCCGTGCCAAGGTCGGTACCCTCGACAAGTTTAGTTTAGCGTTGAAACGAACTCGAATGTTTGCGCGGACTTCTCTTTGGCCGCTAAAAAATTTCTCGTTAAAAATCACTCAGCTGTAGTAATCGAGAAAAAAAAATATGGGGCTCTCTTTCGAAACAATGCTCACGCACGCGACTTCTGCGAAACTCTAATTCCGGGTCACAGAATTAAAAATATAATTTGGTAATTAATGGATGTGAACGACTTCTTTGCTTCTCGTGAAGCGAAAGGACTTTTATTTATATCGCGGATGATAAAGACTTTTAAAATTTAATTTGAATTTTTGTCGTGCACCTTACTTGCTTATTTTTCAAGATAATAATAACATTTATGATAATTTAAAATAACTCATATTTTCTTGTACTCACACAATGTATATTAAAAATAGTTCAATTAATTCTTTTAATCTTATTAGTGACATATAATAAAATAAGCTGCACGCCTTACTTTTTAAAGTTATTTTTGAATGGAATAAAATTGTCATTTAGCAAGCTAGTACAAGAAAAAATTATTTATACATTTTTAAATATGTTTGATATGTGTATAACAACAATAATAGCAGAGAAAAGAGAGAATGGTTATAAATATTATCTGATGACTGTATTTAAACGCGGCAGATATTGATTAATAATGAATAATTGCAATCAGATTTGGCGGCCAAATGCCAACATGCCATATAAAGCAAATATGAAGGAAAACCTCGACAATCTACTAAGACGCGATACGACTTATTAAGATTCCTTGCGTGCCAATTCATCGAGGTAACTAATAAGTGTTAATAACGCCCCACGCGATATTACCTGGAATAATAATGATATTTGTTTCGAAGTAACACGCATCCTATCGTCGTAATTTTCAAGACGCGATCGTAATCCCGAGAAAAATCATGCTCGCCAAAATTGATATGCAGTCTTTAAAGATGCTGTCAATAAATATAGATATACTCGAAGAGATACCTTACTGACCGGTTTAAATTTGATCTTAAACGGTGTGATAGCCAAGAAGCTGGAGTCTGTGAGCGTTTCGCTCAAGACCATGACCGTGCTCTTTCACCTTACGATCTGCTCTTTCGGGAATCACTGAAAAAAATCAATTAAAATCAAGTTTTTAATACTCATCCTTTTAATTATTTACGTTTTATCTTATTTTTTATAATAATTTATATTTTAAAGCTTTTTCTGTTCCAAATGATTATTTTTAATCTATTTATTGTGATAAATGGGTGATAAAAATTTATAATTATATATAAATGTTATATATAAT